CGAGGAGGCCTTGGCGCCATCCCCGAACGGTGGTGGCAGTGGCGGCAGGTGAACAGCTGCTGAGGAGGCCTTGACGCCGTCCCCAAGCGACGCTTACCGCATCTGCACGTCGGCGGGCGTCCTGGATGACGAAGCCGGGACGTATGACGTCTTCTTCATCGACTGCGCCATTGTAACGACGAGAAATAAGACACAACGCCTTTGCTGCAGGCCGGCTGTTCTTATTCTGCTTCGTCTTCGTCCTCTTCCTCCTAGCATGCGAGTCTGTGCCAGAGAGAGTTCCAGTTTCGGTTTTCGTCATTACAATATATATATATATATATATATTTCCGTGTTTTAACACAATATTAATGAGATCTAACAGACAGTAATGCCAAGGAATGTACAGGGGAAGTTATTAGAACCAATGGAATGTATATAAGAAGAAAGAAAAGTGGATGAAAAAACAACCAGACGTGAGCTGCTCATGGCTGGTTATTTTTTCATCCACTTTTCTTTCTTATATATATATATATATATATATATATATATATATATATATATATATATATATATATATATATATATATATATATTGTAAATATAATAAATGGGGCTATATTCATCTTTATAACACTTTTAGTATCGTGTTATGGGAACAGTGTTGATAATATGAAAATCTGTTGTTTTGTTGAATACCCTTTTACATGAAATAGAACACTTTGTTCTATACTTGTAAGTTTTATTTAAATGTAGTGGCTTCAGTTTTCCAACCTAGTTTGATTTATCCATCCTGTAGAATAATCATCCTTAAGCGCTTGCAAGCCAAGGTACTTTTTATGAGCAGTGTAGTTTTTTTTTCAATTACTTCTTTCTTCTCTTATATTTTGTGTTATTACATAATGCACAGAGGAGGAAAGTGCACCAAAAAAATTTTGATGAATGAAGTTACTGGTTGTCATTATGGTGTTTGTAAATGGCACACTCAACAGGAAACTGCTGCTGTTGGTTACCTTTGTAATGCTGCTGACAGTATTTATATTACCGCCAGTCAAAAAAGTTACTTTGTCCATACTTGCACCACAATGCAAAGGAAAAGTTATACGCACTATTGTCTGTAAGTAACTTTAGCAGCCCTGCGACCCCGCTTTCTGTATGGAGAAAAGTGCCGTTTTGTGATACTCCACATCCTAAAACTTAAGCTTTATTTTTTTGTCTCTTAATTTAAAGCATTGCTGAAATCGCAAAAGGGTGTAATTAATCTGTCCTACACTTAGAAAATAGTTAATCCGCTTTGCAGTAGAAAATGGTTGCTTCTCTTAAGGCATGTAAATGTGGCTTATTTTGTTAACGAAGCTGCTGAGAGTGGGTTGCAGGACAAATTTGTTTACCAGCACAAGTTAAATGACATTCTGCAATTGCGAGGGATGTCGTGTGGCACATTCTCCTGACACTTCTAACTATATGGTCCTCCTTCATGCCCCTGATTCTGCGAAAAGAAAGAAAAAGCTGAAAACAAAACAGAACGAAACAAGCAAAGGCCAGGGAACAAAGGAGCCAGCTGCTCATGGACTCGGAAGTTAGAGATTGTTTTTACAGCGTGCCAGGAACAAAGTGCATGCCCTCATACACTGTGTGTGTCGCATGCGTCGCCACAGCAAGAGAAGGGAGGCGGAGCTGAGCGGCTGGCCTCCCCCTGGAGCTTCGGTGGTGCGCTATTCCAGTGCCTGCGAGGGAGAGGGCCCAATTTAGAATGGCTGGGGAGGGGCAAGCCGGCGCACAACGCATCTGACGTAAAGCTGGGCAATCTGCCTCTGGCTTTTCGTCTGGCCAGCGAGAAAAAGGCATTTTATGCCCTGTGAAAGCTTGTTTGAGGGAGTGTTGGCGAGTTATTGCTCATGGAGTGTTTTTATTCATTCATTTGCATATCTGAAAACCAATTCTATGCTGTGAGGTCCTCCAGATTGAGGAAATGATTTTGTGTGCTGTTGGATGAAAGAAGACCGATGTCACTCTCCGACGCTTGGTTTGTTGGGGCACACCGAGGGATCTTGTTTCTATGTGCGGTGCTAATTTAGCGTAGCATGAGCTGAGTAGGGACACCGAGTACTTGCTTTTCTCGGACTTGTGTGGTGGAGTGCCAGGTCGGGATGTGATGCAGTCCTTTGCTGGAGGAAAAGGAAAGTGATTTCATTGTGATTATCGATAGAGAGCCTGCTGGCCTTGTGCATGCACCAATTACTGCATGCACAAGTACAAGTTTGGCCTTCAGAATTGGTTCACTATTTTTCTTGCTTTGTGTATCTGTATACACAACTTCATTCTTTTATTATTTCTTTTTTTTTTCATGGGAATTCCACAGCCCTTCCTTATTGAGGGCAAACTATGTGTAAATGATATTCTTCAATTCCTTGTGCTTGTCACTTCGTGGGCAGCATCTCTTTTTCAAATTTCCCCAGAGTTTATTTAAGCCATTTAGTGACTTTATGTCATAAGACATACCCTGTAGTGATATGGAAGGCTGCCAAGAGTGATGGCAGCAGCCACACGCCTCAAAGATGCGTAGAGCATTTTCGCAAAAGTTTGGAAGGGCTGGCTCCCGCACAGAGAAGGGAAAGGCAAGTCAAGAGAAAGAATCAGCTGTACAGACAAACAAGTCAGTCAAGAGAATTAGCTTTCGTGAACCAGAAGTGGACAATGGGTACGAGACTAACGCCGGTTGTATTTCAGCCAAGTCTACGCGGAGTGTGATACATGGCAGCAAAGCTTTTGTCAGTGCTGGTGAAAAAAGCTGTGATTTGCAAAAAGACTTTTCAAGGACTTCAGGCCTTAAGAGAAGCGTTAGCTTAGAGGACCTAGAACTCCAGGTGAGGGATGGCATGCTTTGAGTTTAATAATTTATATGCTTTTTGTCTTTAAACTTTTCGAACCAAAGGGTAAAAGTATGTTTGAATTAGTGAAGGGGAAAAAAAAAACAGAGGTGACTGTTATCTTTACATGCATGTGTGGGAACGCGAGTCTTTGCGAGCTTGCTTTTACTGCTTGCGGATGTAATAATGCTGTCATAATTTTGTTTATACCTCTTTCAAGCTTTTGAACTTGATGCTCTCCAAGGGGTGTTATACATGAGCAAATTCATGTTATTTGGATCTGCCATTTTTTTTTTGTATTTCTTGAAGGAGTACTGACACGAATTTCAAATATTTTCAGGTTGTTGCTTTAAGTAAAAACATGAGTGTCGAGAACCCTGAAAAGAGTGTCGTGGCACTTGGCAAGTCATCGAATATATCTTTAATACCGCTAACTTGAAACAATTTCAGTTTTGTTATCGAGAGGGTGGTTCACAGTGACGTGTCAAGAGTGGTCTAACATCATGGGAAGACTACAACTCGCAACATACTAGCAACAACAGCCGGTCTGCTGTCAGTCGCACTCGGTTTACGTAAACAACAATGTATGAATTACAGTCCAGATACTCTGACAGCGATTTCTGTGATTGAGGCTGCACTCAGGACGAACCCAGTGAGCTTTGTTCACTTGTAATGCAACGTCCATCGTGGTGGGGCTGGCTTGACAATGCTGGGCGACGAACTTTAAAATCGTAGGAAAATATTTTCTACGTGTTGTCTGGCTCCGGTGTGTGAAGAACGTTGATAGTGTACACCATGGAAACAAAATATGTACCTTTTGGGTGCCTCAAAATCATGTCGGTACTCCTTTTAGTGAGATGGTATGCTTAATGTATGACGCTAATAGGATTCGGGATTGTGTTAGCCCCTATTGAGCTGCATTTGTCTGCTTCATAATTTCAAGCGTTGATAGGAGTAAAAGTTATTATTTGAAAAATAACACCATAAGTAAACTACCTTTGGTGTTCACTTTTGAAGTGTTATGTGTGTGACAACTGACGTGTGGCTGGCGCTGTGGGAAGTAGGAAATAATTCTGAGAGACATATGGAAGGTAGGAGCAGCATGTGACATCAACTATACATGAGTCATCGGTTTAAGCGTACCTGGAACGTGTAGCCATCTCAGAAATACTCGCTGAAAGCCTCTCTGACACTTCCAAATTTTTTACCAAGGTGCTGCTGGCACTGTGAGTGCTTCATGTATGGCAGTAGTTCAGCCTTCCCCTGAGAAGGTGTCCGTTGGCAGGTTCACGTGGAAATTTCATTTCATCGTGTATATTAATTTTGCTTCCTAGTGCCTCATAACAGCGCTCAATTCTAAAGTTCACTTATATGTAAATAGTTCTGTAGTTTGCAGCACCATGTGCATAGCATAACCTTACAAAATATATACAAATGCTGATTATGTGCTTTTTGAGGCATGTTAAAATAATATTCTCATACGTAGTGTTAACATGTGGGTCAGGATTGCTCAGTCAGTAGTTTAAGCTGACCATATATTTGAGACAGATTTTTCGGAATTGTTTATGTAAAAATGGCTCTAACATTTCTGTTTCATTTATAAAGAAAACTATCACCACTTATGTTTTTTGTGTTGTATAGTTACATTTATAAAGATGGAATTTGTATAAAGCGAAATAGTAGTTTTTTAAAATTTCTATTGTAACTTCTACATATGGTACAAATATTAGAAGTTGATCAAATTTTGAGTGCTTGTCATGAAATTAATAAAATTATAAAACTAGTTTTAGCTATTTTGATAGGAACACGCAGCTTGTACTTAAATGCAGATATAGCAATGTGCACTGATTGTAGAGCAAAAATGCAATAGTTTTATGAAGTATATAGGATGAATATATATAATTTAAAGCCAGGTGATAAAGTGATCTATGGGGCACAAGTTTGGTTGGAAATTTTGGGGGGCAACATGAATGCTTCCAGTACGTCGTTTGAAGCATGCAGACTCCCCTTCTCCTCTTAAAAAAAAAGAAAAAAAGAAACTCAACTGTAACAACAAAACAACAGCTTGGATTGAGGCCCCCGTGTTTTGCCGTGTAAATGTTGTTGAGGTTCCCATCACGTCGGGCTAGTAATTTCTGTCTTTTTCCGCAGAGCCAGGCCATGCGTGTGGTGCGCACCATTGGGCAGGCCTTTGAGGTTTGCCATAAACTGAGCCTGGCCAATGCCACGTCCAGTTTGGTTGCCAGTGACAGTCTCCCATCAGCTACTCGACACAGCAGCAGCGAGAACTCCATTTCCAGAGGTCTGCCACAACACTTATCTTCCGAGCCTCCTGAGCACTGTAACAGAGCAAGTCTAAGCAATTTTTTTTTCCCTTGCTAAGCTTAGATGAGCACGTGGAGGTCTACATAATGAAGGCTTATACACCTTTGTTGTTAGAGCATACAAATAATAAACATTGTTTGTTGGAAACTACTTGTAGTAGCATGATTGTAATGCGAAGGGTGACTTTTTTAGCAAGAAAAAATACAACAAAAATAAAAGAATTGTGTGCATCATCACACTTTTTAGACAAATTGAAATTGGGTATTCGATTGTAACACGAGGGTCAACTCCAGGTAGCAAAGATTTGGGAAAAAACAAACTTGTGTTACATTTGAGTAAATGCAGGGATTTCTTTGGGAACCTGCATGCTTGAGAACACACAAAAAATATTTCTTGTTGTAACATGGAAGCATATATATAGTATGGTAATATGAATGATAAGCTGTGTCCAGTAGGGCACTAAATTGCATTTCAAGACTCATTGGGCATATCTGGCACGTAATACTAGTAGTGTTGCAAGCAGCCTTAGTTTGTAAGTGTCACTGGGTTCACTCATGCTCAGCAACTACTTTAATGCTGCTCAAAATATTGTGCAGTGGAAGAAACTGTGCCTTTATAAAAAGGGCAATTGAAAGCCACTGGTTTGTAGCAAAAAGCCACATTATAGTCTATATGGATTTGCCAGAAAGGAAAGCTCTTGAGTCGACAAAAAATTTGTTCTTGTCCTGATTTGAACGCAAGATTCTGCATGCCGTGCAGGGCTATGTTTGCCTTGCATGTTCACAAGAGCCTCAACTACTGATTTGCTATGAATTCTAAGTATATTTGAAAAGTGCTGCTGTGCCTCTTTGAAGCTTGTTTGAGATAAACACAAACTTTTTTGTGTATATCAGAAAGCCTTGCAGAGACTCTTTGAAGTGACCGTTTGAGATAGGGAGAATTCTTTTGATTGATCACAGGCTTAGCCCAAAACAACTTTTTTTACCTAGGTGTGTGTACTAGGCATGGGTGTGTAGGAATTCCATAATAGGAAGAAATTGTAGGGAAGGAGAAAAAAAATGACGAGAAAGGGACAAACAACACAGCTTCCTTTTTCTTGTATTTTTATTCTGTGTCAGTTGCTGCTGCTTCTTTTTTTCTCAACGTCTAAAGTAGAGTTTGCTTATGCCCAACTGGCACAAAGATGCAGCAGAATGAAAAGTGCCCAATTTCATGCTTCTTTGTCAGCATGATTCTTGATATATTATGAAAGGCTTTGTGCTGTTTATTATAGTGTCACGTGTAGTTGTTTATTTTGGGTTTAGGAATCACTGCTTGGATGTAACTGCTTGCAGAAAAGGACCAGAGTGAAAAGTTTGACAGAGACAGCACATGCGACGACACTAAGCCACTAGCACCACAGTCAGAATCTAGCCCTGTTGAATCGCCACGCCAGGAATCTCACTGCAGTTCAAAGGCATCATCCTCGTCTCCAGCTACAGGAAGCTCACAACAGACACTGCTGCAGCAGCAACAGCAGCAGCAGCAGTCACAGTCACAATCACCTAAGCCAGCTGTCAACCAGATTGTTTGCACCCAACCTGTGGTGAGTAGATTGTTTATTAGGATGCATTGTGGTTATGTTGGTGATCGTAATTATTTAGAAGGATCCAGGGTAAGAGTTATGCAAATGAAAACGCGTGCACGCACACACGCTCACACACACGTATATGCACACACGCACGCTTACCTAAATACTATGCTGTTCCATTTTATGCTTACACACCCAAGTTACTTTGCTGTATAGCTTGTGGCTTTATGAAGGCACTAGCATCACATGCAACGAGGTTTTACATTTTCACATTCGGTAGCATTAGTGAGGGTGCAGGTTTAGGGGTCCAACCTCTTCCGCGCCAAATTATGAAAAGCAAGGAAAGGAAATGTATTTAAGGCATTTAGTTCAGTGCAGCGAGCAGAAAAGGAAAATATTGTCACTGTACACAAACAAGCTGTAAATCAACTCGTTTCATGATGAAAAAAAAAAAAAAAAGTGGTTTCTTACTTTCAGTCTTTTTTTGAAATCATATATACTTTCTTTGCAGTGGTAATGTCAGTGAGACAATTCAGGGAGTCTGTGATTAGGCAGGGTACTCTTGATTGGCTGTAGCTCATTTGTGTAAATTGTGTGTGTTATCTATGGGGAATAAAAATGTTAAAAAAAGGGGTTGGAGGGGGTTGGAGGAGGGTGGAGAAATCTGGTTCTGGAGTGCTACTATACTAGCTATTATACTATAGTGCCACGTTTCTTTCCTCAAGTTTTCTTATTGCCCCGTTACACTGTACGCAATTATTGAAGTCTTATGCTTCACCGTGCGAAGCGACCTGAAGGGTCCTTTAAGTTAGCTAGCCAACACAGGGTGTGGTGGTAGCTGACAACTTTGAAAGGCCTGTTGTAGAAATAAGGGCGAAATTACGACGCTGCCCAGATGATGGCAAGGCACTCCTTTTCTGTTGTGGAATAGTTGTCCTCGGCCTTGGATAGCGACCGGCTAGCATAACAGATAACACTTTCCAGGCCGTTGGTCTTTTGCACAAAGATGGCACCAAGTACTACGCTGCTTGCGTCCCTGTGTACTTTTGTTTCGGTGTATTCGTCAAAATGGGCAAGTAGTGGCGGTGTCTGCAGGCGTCGTTTGAGTTTCTGAAATGCTTCAATTTGTGCCGTTTCCCATTTGAAATCGGCTTCGGTTTTCGTGAGTTGCGTTAGTGGCTCGGCTTGTGCGCCTATTAGAGACGCTTCGTCAAGGACTTTACACAGACCGACGTCGATTTCAAATCAAATTTTAGCCGATTCTATGCGTTAACTGACTTTTTTTCATAAACTTTGTGGTACGGCTTTGGTTAGCAATGTTGAATACAATACTTGTGAACTATCGACATTGGTTTTTGTTGATATGTAGGGTTTAACATCCCAAAACCACTATATGATATTTGTTTTGTTGCTGCTCTACATTAAGACATAGGTGAGGGGTGCTCTGGATAAATTTTGGCTACTCGGAAACTTTTAAGGGTTCCTTCTTTATGGTTTGGGTATTTTAAATAAATCTAGCTGAGCATAGAACATCCAGTAATGATTGTGCCTGCAGTATGAAATTGCTGCATGGTATGGAAATGGCCAAAATTTCCTAGAGCATGCTTCAGCTGACTCCTCTCAAGGGAGCCCATCTGAGACCACAACACATGTCTTTAGTTAGAAATGTGGAACACACAATGCCACCACAGCAAACATGTCAGAAAGGAAAAAGGGAATGGGCCTTTTAATGTGACTGTGGCAGAGTGACTTTGGCTCTGCTATCTGAGAGGAAGTAGTGAAGGGACACTGTAGGCTAGTTGAAGAAACAGCGACAGTGTCTGCACTGACAGTGAAACATATTGCCTGGCGGCATGGTTACGGGTAGCTAAAATTACTTGAACTCCTTCCTCTTAGGTTGAACTGGTTTTTGTTAAAACTCTCCCTAGACCTTACAACTTAAGTACACAAACTGAATTGGTAACTCCCTTTAACATTTACACGATGCATGTTGCGCAACGGTTGTGCATTTCATTCCATTACACTTCAAAAAATGCTGGACATGCCATGTCAGCCATCTTCCAGAGCCTGGAATCGAAGATGGCTAACATGGCATGTCCAGCATTTTTTGAAGTGTAAGGTATAACGACGACAACAGATAGAAGGAAAGCAAAAGGTTCGTCATGGCGCTTCGTATGTGTGTACGACTTTCCTTTGTCTGTTGTTGTCACTGCACTTTATGCGTAAAAAAAATTCTGGGATTGAACCGGCATCGTTGCTTTCTGTGGTGACTTAACTGCTAAGCTGGTGTGCTGCAATACACTGAAAAGTGGGTATGCGTCCTGGCCATGGTGTCTGCATGGGGGCAAAAAGCAAATATACCCATGTACTTATATTTAGGTGCATGTTGAGGAGTCTCAGTTGTTCAAAATCAATTAGTGCCTCATAATCGTATTGAGTGTTTGGCCTATAAATCACTTGATTTTATTTAGCCCACAATCTTTTGCTCAGCAGTGCAACTCAAAAGGTTTCTCAGGAAGTTAATGCTGCATAATACTAGACTACTAACTGTCATAGAGAGCCTCTCAAACACCAGCTTCCTTGCTATGTTATTCCTACAGCCTAGCCTGCACATTGTATACACAGATTTCTTATTCCAGTAATTTATCTCAAGGAAATAATTTTCATTAACAACCATGTGAAATTACATGTCTGCTATCTAGTGAATTTAATGGTAACTGGAGGCTAGCATAATAAGAGGCTTGGCATGCTCGTTTACTATGTTATAGTTCGTCAAAGGAGGATAGAGTGAGATATATAAATAAATGTCAATTGATAAAACTGGTGCCGTAGCCTATGTCATCCTGAGGTAGGGGAAAAAAGAAAAGAAACGTGCACTTGACACAGATTTGGAAATATAAGTTACCACGAAATGAACATGCAGCTTTGAGGCACCATCCAGAAATATCCATCTCTGTTTGTTTTATGCCTGAAATTGCGCCATGTTTGATGGGGTTGGAAAAATACTAAACAGCAACTTATAGTTTACAAAGTAGGTAATGAATTCTTCACCGAAAATCACGACATGTTATATTTCATTTACTACTTTATTTTCAACTATGGGCTCGGCAAACAATATAAAAACTGTTGTGCGGTATAGACTTCTAATACCTGATTTGTTTGGTGGTTGCCAGTGGTCATCATTCAATCCATCTTGTTTTATAAGCCGTCTATGTGCCAGTTGCTGCTTCATGCATTTTCATTGTTTCTAATGCTGTATCTCAGTACCCTGAGCCATGAGTGGGTTGTGATATAGGTGGGAACGATTGTGCAGGTGAGTGCTGCAAGTGATGGCGGGTCAGGCCTGCCCCCACCATCACCTGCTGCGCCTGCCTCTCTTGTGCCAGAAGGAACATCACTGTCCCTGTACCACCAGTTGCAGCTGATGCGTGCTCAGATGGAGCATCAGGCCCAGCAGGCCCAGTCAGCTATAAGCCAGGCCCGCCATTTACGTGACCAGCTCTCAGCAGAGGCAACTGCTCGTTCTGAAGCCATGGTGCGTAGCTTACTTCGTAGCGCTCACTGGTTCTCTCTTCTCCCGATATTAAATTATGCTGAGGTTAATATCCCGTAGTTGTGTAGAATGTTTTTTTATGTTACTGTAACATTGGCTGAAGCATTTTAGCTGAACGAGGCTCAACAAGTAAGCATACAAGCGACATTAGTTGGTTGCATGTGCAATGAATTACTTTATCCTTAACTTGGTATAAATTAGTCATGAGCTAATATTTTGTACATGAATAAACAAGTTTGTAGAACAAAATTGATATTTCTTTGGTTGCAGGAATTTATATAATGTATGTTCTTCAGGTTTATAAGCTAAAAAGAAATGGGGAGTTTTGTATCAGGGAACCACAATATGATAATGAGGCACTCTGCAGTGGTGTTTCTGGATTAATTTTTCACACTTAAAGTTCTTTACTGTGCACCTAAATGATTGTACAACAGTATTCTTGCATATCACTCCCATCAGAATGTGGCTGCCGTGGCTAGAAACTGAAACCGTGTGCTTTAGCTTGGTAGCAAACCTTAGCTGCTAAATTACCACAGCTGTCTCATAGCGTGTCTCACTTGCTTAGTGGCTGTGATGTTGAGGGTGAGGTCACTGGCTCAATTCCCAGCTACTGCAGCCATAGTACAATGGGAGTTAATATATAAAAAAGTGCTTGTGTATTGAGAATTAATGGCAGGCCCCACCACGGCGGTCTAGTGGCTGAAGTACTCGGCTACTGATCCGCAGGTTGTGGGATCGAATCCTGGTTACGGCGGGTGCATTTTCGATGGAGGTAAAAATGCTGCAGGGCCGTGTGCTCGGATTTGGGTGCACGTTAAAGTTTCCAGAGGCCTCCACCACGGCGTCTCTCATAATCAAGTGGTGGTTTTGCTCTGTTAAACCCCACATCTCAATCAAATTTGGATAATTAGTGGCACTTCTTGAACACATAGTATAAAATTAAGGTACTCTAAAAGCAAATACTAATTTATGTCAGATCGTAAGCTCAATGTACGACAATGTCTGAAACAGCATATTATCAACAGCAGTGCTCTACTTACCGAGAAGTTAAGCTAAATGTAAATCACGACGTGTGCCACAAGTGGGACATTCTTGAAATGATCCTGATGACGTGAGAGTGTCCCACTACAATTAATTGCTAGTGGTCAAACTAGCTGCAGTAAAAAAGAACCTTCTGTGGATTAATAGAGGTAATAAAATGCTGCTTGTCCATGTCTGTTTGATTTATATAAAAAAGAACCTCCTGGCATTACCATGGGGAATGGCCCGAGTGGTTCTAAAGTGCCGTTTCGCCTGGTTAGGCTGGACAGGTGGTGCCATCTAGCGGAGCTCAGTTGAACCAAGCTAGTAGAAAATTGTTCAGTGGTCGTTGTTGTTGCTGTGGGTCCCTCCACTTTCACTCTGCTGCTACTAGTGTCAGCGGCCGCGCGGTAAAGGTGGGCAACGTTGTGCACGGCAACAGTAACGCGAGAAAGACTGCTTTCAGGCGGGTGATTTGAAGTACCTAATGCGATGTCGACCACTAAAACGTGATTTTATGTCAAAATAAGCACTTTCTCGGCATAGAAGTAGCAATACGAGGTTTCTGGACCGCTATTTCAACAATAAACGTCGACTTACTATTTGCCTTTAGTGTTCCTTTAACTTATGTGCTCTGCTAAATCATCTCTATCATGAGGTTCTGTTTATCTGCTGTTTGAGTTTGTACCCTCTAGTATTTTCATGTGTTTTGTGTGGCTATTTTTCTGCTTTGCAAGATATTTTTCATTGAGTGATATTTTGCTGTATACATCCTGCGTGATTCCCAATTACTGCCCAGGTACTGCTTTACAAGTTCACATTACACAATGTCACATGCACTTTGGCATGTGTTTTCAGGGGTCTTTCACTGTTGTTTGTCCCTATGGTTTGTATGTGACCTTTATTAGGTGCTGTGCAGGGTTTCTCTCTGAGCATTAGCGCCATTGTGAATGACTAGTACTTCATCTGTGTCTGATTTTGAGGCATTACTATTCTGTAATCATGGTGTTCTTCCAAGTCTGAGTGATTGGGCCAACAACTGACTGGATTCATTTATTTTTCGCTGATTTGCTTTTTCACTTTTGTGATACCAAATGACTGAAAAAAAAAGATAACGTCATTCCAGGGAAGGTATGTCCTACCTGAGTAGTTATGATGTGCTTTGTTAGCAATGTTGGGTAAAATGCGAGGGATTGTTATGCAAGCAAGTTGACGGGCACATGTTCAGATGTATGGGCACATGGCCTTTTTTTAGGATGTTTACCTTCATTGTCACATGTTCAAGTTGGGCTCAAGAAGCATAGCCCATTTATTTGCTTCCATGCTCTCAGAAGTATTCTGCATGCAAAGCTCCAGTAAGACTGGTTTTATTTGTTACACACACATAGTAACACGTAGTGAATTTATGCATACCATTGCAAGCTAATCTCTCCTTGTTTGTTTTTTGTGCTGTTGTCAAATGAAATGTTTTCAAGTTCAGAAACCTAAGGTTTTCTGAGAGGTTATGCTCAGGCAGCAGAGTTCACATTTGCATTGTGTTTAAAGGGTGTCATTTTTCGTAGGTGTGCACAGGACATTTGGGTGTCAGTGACGCCTGTCTTGGAAGCACTTGGCGAACAGCAAATGAACGAAAGACACTGGTTTTTAACAGATTTCAAAACGAAAATGGTAGCTCGCAATGAATGATGACTACAATTACTCAATTCTAATGTACACCTTTTTCACAACTCTTCTGAAAGTTCCTTGTATCATAAATATGTAAACAAAATTGAAACCTTGTTTATGGTGTTAGCGACAGCTTTATGCTACTGCCAGCATAAAAAAGTCATTGTCATTCTCATCACCATTGTCATTATAAGGGGGTGGCATATCAAGTTTTTATGGGAAGTTGTTAGCCTTGGGATTTGCCAACGTTACAGGTGCAGTTGTGTTGGAGTGGCTCGAGAAATATGGAATAGTACATATAAACCAAAGCAGACTGTAAGGGATGTGAAAGTAATAATAATAATAATAAGAATAGTATGTGGAGTTTCATGTCTGAAAACCAAGATACCGTTATGAGAGACGCCATAATGTAGAGCTCCAGATATTTTGACCATCTGGTGTTCTTTGATGTTCACTGACATCGCATAGTACACGGGCCTGTACCATTTCGCCTCCATCGAAATGCAACCGCCGCAGCCACAGATCGAACCCGCGACCTTCAAGTCAGTAGCCGAGCACACTAGCCACTGGTGCACTGAGGCGGACAGGAAGTGTGACAATTACTAGTCAAGACCACAAGAAGGGTTAAAAAGCTGCCCCAGGTTGGCAGCATTAGGCATCAGTGTAAATAAATTTATAATATTTTATGATAAAGTTTCATATTATTTGCACCTTATTTCTTATGAAAACATACCACCTTTTTTCTTTTTTTTTACAGTTTGGGTGTGCATGGTTTTGTGCGTTTAATTTGGTACCAGATTTCGCACACTCATGGCACATGTGTGAACACTGTCAAATGAAGCAATAATCTGTTTAGACATTTTTTATCATTTTTAAAATTCAGCTTGTGAAATAATCTGTTCAATTCCCTAGTTTAGAGGGCAACTGTATGTGTAGTGGAGCTAGCAAACTCTGAAAAGCAAGCCAACATATTCTGTTTTCTTATTCTCATCTACAGTCACAGAATCAGCAGCTAATTGTGCACAATCGGGAGCTGCTGCAGCACATTCATCTGTTGGTGAAACACATCCAGGAGCTGGAAAAAAAGATAAACAGACTTGAAGGCAAAACTGACCATCTGCAGCCCGACCTGTCACCGTCCCCACTTCAGGTGATATGCTTGTACTGCCATGAGTGGCACTTCTGCGTCTTACGTCATTCTGTCCTGCAATGTTAGAACGCCATGGCTGGGAACCCTCTTGGTACGGGGTTAAAAGAATTTCCCTTCCTTCCCTCATTTTTTTTTACTGCTGAAGGTTATCTGTGGTACAGCGTCACAGAAAAATTTTTTTCTGGTGTTTTTGTTGGTTTTATGACATTTAAATTTAAGTTTGTATAATGTTTGAGTATTTTGAACAGAATCTTTATTAATTGTGCCTTTGTGACAAAGCCTACAGCTTTTCAGGATCTGCTTCAATGGGAAAAGTCAATGCAAACACACATTTGTGCATAGGCGTCAAGTCAAATTTTCATTTTCCTTGGGGTGAGGGTGTCCTATGCTTTTCCAACTTTCTCTCTCTCTTCCTTATATATATATATATATATATTGTTACAATAAAAGATGTTTATTTGAAGATGGGCCGATGGAAAAAGGGGCTGAATGGCTGCCGCCCAGCACCGATACATTTGCAAAACAAGTGCTCTCCACCCTCCTCTTCTTTTTGTTCTGCCTGTCGCATTAGCTTAGCCCTTATTTCTCCTCAGACGAAGCCCGCTGGGCGAGTAACGACTATGTAAACACGGAGTCATGTGGATGACAGCGCAAGTGCGCGACGTGAACAAGATGCGTCTGCCAAGGTCGGTAGGCGTGGTTTAGAAGATGAGCTATCGAGTACGTCATTTCACTGAGGCGATCAATGATGATGAAGGGGCCGGTGTATCGTGCCAGAAACTTTTGACACAGGCCACGCTTGCGAAGCGGCGTCCAGAGTCAAACTATGTCGGCCTTCTCGTAAGACACGTGCTTGTGCCATGAATCGTAGGTGATCTTGGAATGGTTTTGGGATGCCAACTACAAAGGTGAGCTACATGCCATGCTTCCTCTGCACGACGAAGAGTTTGGGCAATAGAAAGGTCCGCATGAGTATAAAATGGCAGAATGGTGTCAAGGAAGAGTCGGGGTGGTCGAACGTAAAATAGATAGAAGGGGCTGTAGCCAGCGGCTTTATGCCTCGCCGAGTTGTAAGCGTACATAATAAAGGGGAGGATCCCAATTCTTGTGCCTTGAATTGACGTACATACAAATCGTATTGGTGAGCATTCTGTTCGTGCACTCAACGAGACAATTTGTCTGCGGGTAATTAGGGGTTGCGTGGGGAAATTGATAATCGCAGAGATCGCAAGAGCTCTTCAACCACGTCAGCAATGAACCGGCGTCCACTATCACTCACAATAATGTGAGGTGGTCCATGGCGAAGTATGTCTGTAGACGGAGGGAAGCTCGAAACATTGATATCCGTGGCTGTTGACATTGCTGCGGTCTCTGCATAACTTGTCAGGTGGTCAATACAAACGATGACCCAACAGTTGTTGTTTGATGAGCTCGGGAAAGGGCCAACAAGACCCACTCCCACCATTTCGAAAGGTGTTGAGGGTGTTTTCAAAGGGTGAAGGAGTCTGACCGGGCAGTGTTTGGGCGCTTGAATTGTTGGCATTTGTCACAACTGGCCACATACTTTTCCATGGTCCTTCTCAATCTAGGTCAGTATAATCTACCTTGAATGCGGTGATACGTTTTGGCGAAACCCATGTGCCCTCATCACATAAAGGCTGGCTTAGTGCGATACCCAGTTCGACCTTTCGTATCAAGGCCCTTCAGTGTCGTAAATGCCCGAAGCTTGGACATGTGCAGAGTTTCTCCACAAGTGTTTTGGTTTGTGCCAAATGGGGTGGAAAGCACGACGTAAAATGTCTATGTGTTGTGTGTCTATGCAGCCTATTTTTTGTACTTATATGTCACCTATTTTTGCTTTTATGCTATTTCTGTGTTTCTGTTATTATGCTGCTCCTTGTATTGTGATAATTATTATTCAATGTAGCACTGTTCGCTGAACTTTTTTTGCGTAGCGAAGCCACGTCAGGCCGAATTGCCTTTAGCTTCGCTTCGTTTTTCGTCGCACCCTGAAGAAAAAAATTGAAGGTTCTGAAGAAAAGAGCCAAAGATATAGCATCAGGAGAAAAGACTCTCAACCGCAGTACACGGCCACCCGCTGTAGAAGGCAAAACTGATGTACCTACACTTCTGAAGTATGGTACTAAAAACGTACCTCAGAGGAGAGAGCAGAAACGGAACTTCTTCCTCTCGGCAACATCGTGGCCGGCGCTTCCACAGTGTCAGAGGCAGTCTCTGAAAAGATCCCTTCTCGCAAAGCGTCGGAAGCAGCTTCTACTAAGGCCCCGCCTACAGTGGAAAAGATCGCAAACAAAACGGACTCTGTTGAGGACGACGCCCAGCTCATCAATCTACTTAAGATGCTGATCAATCTCATTAGATCACTGATTACCGGTCTCCAGACACCAGCCGCACTAGCCGCAGAACAGCTTTTGGAGGCGCTCGTCCCAGTTCTCGACGACCTTCACTAAAAACAGTATGAACAGTCGAAAGCCCCGCTCCTTCGTGCTGCAGTGTAATGTCCGATCAATACCTTTATAGACATTTTTTATGTGACTATTTCATTTTTTTGTGTGTGTGCGTGTTCCCCCCCCCTTTTTTTTCAAACTTTCCTCTTCTCTGTCCTTCTTTCTTCCCTTATTTCCTCTATGCCTCCCCTTCCCGAAGGAGCAGGCAGGCTTTGTGCCCCTATAGGTGGCAGTTGTCAGCCTGTTCTCTCCCTATTTCCTCTGTTTCGTGTTCTCCATGTACTAAAACCAAATAATAATAATAAATAACCACGCCGGCGAAAAACTTTCATAGCTGCATCCAATAGCACCTGTGGAGTCGGTGAGAGGCAGTTGTAGCAGACGAGACTCGGGCGTGTTGGAGACCGCGGGCGCGTGCGCTCTCCTCCGGCGGCGTAAAACTAAGAGTTTTTTACTTCGCCGCAGGGATCGCTGCGTGCACGTTCGCCAACCTCCTCTCCCAGGGTGACATTATCGCGGGCACGCTCGCGCTGGCCCAGAGTTTCCCCTCTTGTCTTTCTTGCTCAGTGGTTCATACTTACGAATACTCACACTCATGAGTACTCACTCATGTTCAAACAGACTTCTACTCACACTCACGCTCATAATCTCTCCTTTTCACACTCAGTCAGGCGCGTAGCCAGAAATTCTTTCCGGGGGCACCACCTTGATTTCGGGAGGGGCACCCTCTTATAATGGCCATATTTTGATCTCTATGCCACGGCGAAAAATATTTCGGGGAGGGGGGGGAGGAAACGTGCCTAATGTGCTACCCCCTGGCTACGCCACTGCTCAGAGTACTCACTCACGTTCATACTCACTCCTACTCACACTCACGAGCGCTCAATGGTGAGCCCTCCCTCAACCCTACTCACACTCATGAATACTCTTCGTACACAAGGATACTCACACTGATTAGCCCTCACTCACGTTCAAACTCACTTCTACTCCCTATCATGAGTACTCACTCACGTTCATACTCCCTCATACTCACGCTCAAAGTACTCACTCATGTTCATGCTCACTCCTACTCACACAATACTCACTCACGTTCATACTCCCTCCTACTCACACTCAGAGTACTCACTCACGTTCATACCGACTCCTACTCACACTCATGAATACTCACTCACGTTCATACTCACTCTTACTCATACTCATAAGTACTCGCTGACGTTCTACTAACTCCTACTCACACTCATCAGTACTCACTCACACTCACCACGTTCAAATATGAGTGAGTGTAGTCATGAGTGAGTATGCCGAGCTATGCTGCAAAGTCAAATTCCTGCAAGCGTAGCACCCACCGAGTAAGTTGACCAGACGTGTCACGGAGACCAACTAATGAACATAGTGAATGATGCTCGGTAACAGTCATAAAGTGATGGCCGTAGAGATATGGGCGGAACATCTAGACAGCAAAAACTACAGCGAGACACTCTTGCTCCGTTACAGTTGTTGGGGCGCCAGTGTAGTGTACACGTATCCCGAAGGAGTACGACCACCAGCGTGGGTCCGTTCTTAGCGAGCCGCAGGGCATGCGTTAACCGTCGCCATGGCGAGAACACGATACTGCTCAAAGTCGCAACACTTTATTGTGGCAGCACCAAACGCAGTACAGCTCGTTGCAAAGGCGTGGCGGGAAAGCAAATAGGCTTATCCACGCCACGGGCATAAAAGTACTACACAGGGTGCCACGAGCACGTCTCCACGGTAAAGGTGATCCACGGAGACACCGGGACCAAGGCCCGGTTGCTCGAGCGAGGGCAAAGGCGCTCGCGTTGGCTTCGGAGGGAGACGGGTCGGCGTAGCTAGGCCACGCACTAGGACACCGACACTGTACTGCCCTTCGGCCGTGCGTACGCAGTGGGGCAACAAAAGGTGAGCGTTCGCCTCGGGCGCGAGGCGCCGTCAGCGAAGTCCGACGAGCCCCGAGCGACAGGAGTCGACAGACGGAAAAGATTGTGTGGCTCACCGTTTGCAGTCCCGGAGAGTATCTGTCTGCCCGCTCCCGACGCAGCGCGCGAAAACCTCTCGGGAGACTCCGCTCGCGGCGCCACAGTCAACATCCGCTACCGGGTGAGGGGGTTAAACGTCACTCCGCTCCCCCAGCGCGGCAGACAGCAAAGGAGGGGAGACATGTCGGGACATGAGAACGGCAGAAAAGGCGGCAAAGCCCGCGCAAAGGCAGCGGGCTAGCCTCAATTCCCACATCCCCCTCTTCTAAATTTGCCCTTTACCAGTCTGCAAAAGGCAGCCTGACGTCACCCATGCAGTTAAAATGACACTGCTATGAGCAAGATAGTGGCCTCTCCTGACCCAGTTGCTGCAGCACAAACTACAAGGAAAATGCTTTAAAGGTACAACAAACATGAGCTTTATGTTCATAAAAGGAAGAAAAAAAAAAGAAACGAATCGCGAAAATACAAGAACACATGAACGAAAACGGTAATACGAGGGAAATAAGCACACACACACAAAGTCAAATAAAGT